CAGATCTTCAAGACAGATCTTCAAGACAGATCTTCAAGACAGATCTTCAAGACAGATCTTCAAGACAGATCTTCAAGACAGATCTTCAAGACAGATCTTCAAGACAGACCACTTTATCTCTAGTTGGTCTCTGTTTTTTAAACCACGGCCAAGTAATAACATCGATGGAGTCAACAAATAAACAATGACCAACAAACAATACAAATACACGCAAGCAAGCCTCAAACAAAACAGCGATCTGAATGACCAGCATGTAAAAAAAGCAATAGCAAGTCAAGTGACACATTTAGCAGACGCATAAATAAACATTTCAGACATAATTTAACGCAATCACAACCGTTAGAAATGTTTTAGACATAATATAACGCAATCACAACCGTTAGAAATGTTTTAGACACCGATTACAACGTGTTGTATTATTATTACCGTAAAATATTGCATAAATGAGCTATATATTGTAGCCAAAAAAAAAAAAAAAAAAACACCGGTTTCTGAAACAATTTCTGGTCAAGAGACAGATGGGGGGGGGGGGGGGGGGGGGGGGAGGGCAAACCGGTCTTTTACAGGTAGTATGGTAATTAAATGTTATAAACAAAGTATTGTAACGCCCTTTTAAGTGGAATTATGCGGTAAATCAGCATGGCTGTTTTTTTTTTTTCAAGAAGCAAAGTATATGGAGATGGGAAGTTACCTTGATTAAAATTATAATAATAAAATACATGAACATTATCAGTTCATTCGTTATAGAATTATTAAGCGAGAAACAAAAGGGAAACATTTAGGATTAATATAAACACACACTTTAACATTGAAAATGCATTTTCCTTAATATTATGCAAAATCCTTTGGAACATTACAAAGTTATCTCCCATAGGTGTGTCCATTTTGATTAGGTTCACGTTAATTTCCCCCAAAAATTGCAGGTTTCTCTTTATTTACAAGTTTGTTGGGCTGGTCGATTTTCTTGAAGGTTACGGGTGTGTCCCCCTCTGTTTTTAGTTTTTTTGTGATGTATTTCTTTCACGTTTTTATTTCGAGAAAGAGAATGCCTGTGGTATGGGTTGCAGCACTCTCTAGGGGGATTTGTGTTAGGACCAGTTTCTCCATGTGTTAAAAGCTGCAATATACGCGATGACAACGGCATTGCGGAACACCCCCGTAACCTTGTGCCAAGGTGACAGGTTCAGGAGCTGCCAATAAGAAGGGAGCTAGTGTTTTTATGGGCGGGGCGTGGGGAGACCAACGTTTCTTTAACCTCCACTTGAAATAATAATAATTCTTTCATATGCATAATCGCGTAATATATTTGTTTAAACTCTGGTCAAACATGTCTTACCCAGACTGACAGTTTCATAGAATACGAGTACATCGTCACTGAAAAGGTTAATCTAAAACTTGTGCTAGTAGTTAAATTGGCCTCGACAGGGCAGATCTCCTGGTATGGTCTTATTGATGACATATTGTCTTTTGGTTAATGCAGTCTATCTGATGTTAACAACTGACCTATGTTTTAGAGCTGTTGACTACATTTTCACACCCTGGCCAATCATCTGTCGGATGCAAAGAAAACAGAAGCATTTCCCAGAAGTCCCATATCAACAGTCTTAAACAGTTAATTTAGGGCACCCTTCGGGCACGAGGTCACCTGTGACCTCAAGAGGGTATTGGTTTTGAAAAAGGTGCCGACTGTCACGATTCTGTTAAAAAATAGACAACTACTGAAGTCCCCGAGCCGCTATAACTACTGAAGTCCCCGAGCCGCCATAACTACCGAAGTCCCCGAGCCGCCATAACTACTGAAGTCCCCGAGTCGCCATAACTCCTGCAGTGCCCGAGCCTCCACAACTACTGCAGTGCCCGAGCCTCCACAACTTGTCATGAAATCTAGTTCGAAGACACCAGAAAATCAAAACACGCTTGGTAAAGTATTATTTATATTTTTATACAAACAAAGCTTATATCTCATACAAGTAATGTTTATATTGAATAGAAGTAGATGATGGACGGTCGTTTGAGTGAATTACATTAACATGAATATAATAGAAGACAAGATAATGTGTACTTTTATGAAATTGTGTTTTGTTCACGGTAAAAAAAAGTAAATACAATTCAATGACGACATAATCATTGGTTTAAATGCGTTGTACGGTGCACCAAATGAACATTTTAAGGAATATGTAAACAAATCTGTAAAACTGAAATGACAATGTCGATTTGAAGCAAGCTGAGCACTGAAACTAGATACGTAGATGGAAAAACAAGTTCTGACAATTTTGCAAAAACGTAAGGCTCTAATTAGAGAGGACGTCGTGTTAAGCGGCCATCAAATAACGACAAAAATCAAGTAAATTATGTCAAAAAAACATATCAAATCATGATATAGCAGACATATCAATAAAACCGATCATGAGCAACATTTGATCAAACCCGGTTGTTGATCACCCAATCGGCGTCAGAAGTCTCTTTGCGATCTTTAGAAATGTCTCAGTCAACAAAACAAACCACAGGTCTTCAAGCAGACAGTCAGGTGGTCACAGACTGCAGTCTTGACACCCCTGCAGTCGCCAGTCAACGAAGATATTCACCTTGTGAGTATGGGGGTTTTGAGAAGATTGTAACGACTCTCGTGGAATCATAGAAAGCCGTTACGGGACAGTCTTCTTCGAGACAGATGGTGATAGCAAACAGTGATTAGAGAAGTTAGACTTGGACAGTCGTTTCTTTCTTTCTTTTTTTTTTAAACACACTATGAGAATCAATGGGACTTGGTGGAAAGAAGACTGGTGGAGAGAAAACTGGTGGAAAAGGATTGGTGAAAAGAAGATTCGTGGAAAGAAGATGGGTGGAAAGAAGACTGGTGGAAATAATATTAATGGAAAGAAGATTAAGGGAAAATAGACTGGTGAAAAACATAATGATGGAAAAAAGATAGATGGAAAGGAGATTGGTGGAAATTAGAGTTGTGGAAATTAGATTCGTGGAAAGAAGACTGGTGGAAAGAAGACTGGTGGAAAAAAAGATTGGTGGAAAGAAGACTGGTAGAAAGAAGACTAGTGGAAAGACGATTGATGGACAGAAGACAGGTGGAGAAAAGATTGGCGGAAAGAAGATCGATGGAAATAAGATTGGCGGAAAGAATACAGGTGGAAACAAGACTGGTTGAAATAATAATAATGGAAGGAAGATTAGTGGAAAGAAGATTGGTGGTAAATAATTGATGGAAAGAAGATTGATGGAAAGAAGATTGGTGGAAAGAAGACTGGTGGAAAGAAGATTGGTGGAAAGAAGATTGGTAGAAAGAAGATTGGTGGAAAGAAGATTGGTGGAAATTAGATTGGTGGAAAGAAGGCTGGTGGAAGGAACGTATGGGGAAGGCAGACAGACAGGTAAACAGCTGGATGGCTTGGCGACACATACGGTACACATTTAGACACAGATGGGGGAGCAAGAGGAGCTGTCGTAGCGCAAGAAAATGTGCGCAGGTCAAAAGAAACTAAAACTAATACTAAACGTACAATGTTTAAATATAATGTGAAATCCGTACTGTTCTATGGAGCGAAAACACGGAGAACAACTAAGGCGATTACTAAAAAAAAAAAAACTACAAACATTTATTTAATTGTCCCTGCGCAGAATAAAGGGAATTCAATGGTATGATAGAATCACTAATGTAGAGCTGTGGGAGAGAACTAAACAAGTTCCAGTGGACCAAAGCTGAAGAAAGACACTGGCGTTGGATAGGACAAACGGTGAGAAAACCTGAGTACGATATAACTAGAATGTCTTTGCACTAGAACCCACTGGTCATAAAAATAAGGGCGGACCAAAAACATGCAGAAGGGAGCAAGGAAGTCTAGTTAAAATGATGGGGAGGGCTGCGTGGTATAGCGAAAGATAGAACAATTGCCTTGAGTGGTTCGGGGCCTACGGTTCAACGGGGGATAGAAGACAGATTAAGAAGAATGTTGCAAGTTTAGAGACCAACTTTATCGGGCCCACAAACAATAACTAGACAACAAAATTACAGTATAAATACATACATCAAAACATGTGTAACTTTCCAACCACAACCCGGGTTTTTTCATTGTATGTTGTAATGTGAATAAATATTATTTATAAACGTTCTATTAACACAAATCACAGGTGTTTATGAATTATTCTTAAATAAATAAGAAAAACTCATTAGGTAGTAACACACAAACACACACACATATATACACACACAAACACATATACATCCATGCATGCATGCAGGCACGCACACACATACATACATACACACACATAAACATGCATGTATGCAGGCACGCTCACACACACATACATACACACACATATACAAGCATGCATGCAGGCGCGCTCACACACACGCGCCACGACGACGCAAAAATATGGAAATAATTTAGTTACAGTGAATGGGGTCAACAGTATATGCAAAGTATATACATTTGTACATGTCTTCTGATCTGTAGTCGTCCCCTTTCCCCAAACCATTTCCCACCCGGAACAGTTCTGTATACAGATCGTTCGATGAATCCGTTTGTCCCATCCAAGATGATATCTACAGACCTACCATACCTTGGTGAGATGACACAAATTTCAACATAGACACCAGATAGCCTGTTCAACCTCCAATGAAGTCAAAGTTAGGGCACTGGTAGCGGCGACACCAGCGGGGTGTAACCTGCAGTCCTGTGCCCGGTCAGGAAGATAGACAGAAGTGAGGGTAATCCCTTTGTAATACGTACCGTAGAGCTGTCAGGAGATTGACTATTTCGTGTACCAGGTCAGGATTGTGACCTGAAGCGGCAAATTGCCGATAATCTCACCGGATTCTTAGGCTCTAACATTTTTAGACATTGAAATACTACAAGTGGTACAGAACTTCACAAAGTCGTGGGCGATTCTGGATATGTCAACAGTTTTAAATAAATAAATACAAAACCCGTTCATCGGCAAGCTTATAAATAAATACAAACAGCACAACATCTTGGTTACTCTCACAACACGTTGCTGGAAGTTGTTCCATCTCCTCTACTTCCGGTAGAGCCGTAGTTGTTGAGAAACTTGAGTGTGCACGCCCGTTCACGTGGAATGAACCGGCACCTGACGTCGTGGGTTGGTGGTAAGATTTCATGTCCATACATGGTTTTATTTGGGAGTGTCCTCTCGCCGTTCAGTAGCTCCATCTTGAAGCTGTTGACCACGTTGATGATGAACCATTTGAGCTGGAGCATCGAAAGCTTCTGCCCAAAACACAAGGAACCAAATCCGGTCATTGGGTGTTTGACCTTGATTCCATTTTTGAAGAACTCGGCGTCAACAAAGCGGTCGTACTTGAATGTCTGGGGAGAGAAGGAGAAATTAGTAACTTCGGGGGTAAATAATCAGCAGCTGTAACAAAAGCATATTGAATAGAAGCAGAAAAGAAGCAGAGGTGGCAAAACAGCGGCAGTTGACAACAACAGCATCACCATCATCAGAATAATGATGATGATGATAATAATAATGATAATAATAGTTATAGGAAGAAAAAGAAGAAGGAAAAGGAGGAGGATATCTGAATATACACAATACAAAAATACTGATATATAGTCTATTAAAAATCGTGCGCGGCCGGCTCACTAGCATAGTTGCTAAACCGGATTGTGCGGTGACCGGGTGACGAACTCCTTGTGGTCCGGGTTCACGCCGAGGGTAGGCAGAAAAGCCATATTTCTCCCAGATTTACCCAGCCTAAGGGTTAACAACTCATGGCTTCTGGATACTAAAAAAAAAAAAAAAATAGTGCGCAACTTTTAAAAATCTGTAACTTAGAATCCGTTAGGTGTACACTGTTGAACTTTGGCAACCTATGAATAATTATGTCCTTGTAGGAAAATCAGTATATAGAGACAAACATCTAGTCTTCATTTTGACATTTGTGGTGTATGAAAAAACAGACACCAGTTCAAATCATACAATCAGCATGTTTACAGTAAAAGGCGTGAAGCGCAGCTGGCAAACCCTGAAACTGCACGGGTTATGGAAGTGCCAGAAATTAGGGCGTGCTTATTCTGAATTGTGAATGTGGATATGTCATATACTGCCATAATGCTTGTTGAATGACTTATAATAAAAAGTACATGATTTGTGTCAATTTATATATTTTATATTTTGTTACAGGTACATAAACTATTACTCCGACAAAGATCAATGAAATTTGCCGCTGTAAGAAAACAACAACACCTGTGCAATTGTAAAATTATGAGGTTATAAGGACCTGAGAAATCTAAGACCAGATGCAAATTCGTGTTGACCCGAACAGGAGTTTTCGAGATTTTGGTTAGAGCTAATGGCCGAATTTTGGAACAGACTTTAGCACTGGCTTAGAACAGCTGCTTGCATCTTCGGTCGGTGTCACAGGTGGGAACACTTACTGGGGTCGATTCTGACCTGGGGCTTCCTAGGTCAACGCCAAACCGGACACAGGGCAAGGAGACTGGCCTTTCAGGGCCTGCTGGGATAGACGTGTGGGGGCCGGCCCTGGGCTGCATTTAGATTCGAAGATGCCCTAAGACATATCCAGACCTTAAGCCGCTAGCCTTTTGCGTGTTCAACAGTTAATATCAGACAACTTGACCAGCATGGGAGTTAATCAAAGGTGGATGTTGAAGCACATCAAGCTGATTATTTTATTCAAAATAGATATGTTACAAGTTTTATAAAATAGTTTAAAAAAGGAGTGATTTGATACACCTAACATAATATTAATACATTTTAAAATATCTGGGGGATTTTTTTCTCATAAATATTTTAAAAAGAAAATTGTCTTCCTAAAAATGTAAATCCGAGGCCCCTACAGACTGTGAGACCCTAACCTGAAGCTTAATTAACTTATGCCTAATAAAAATCGCTGGTATCATCCAGTTTCGTCCTTTTTAGGGCGAAATTTTTTGTTATTTGAAGCCCCACCCTGGCTTTTGCCAGGGGCCGCAATATAGGCAGGCCATAAATATAACCAAGTGTCTGAACGCGGTTTCTGGGACCTCTCCACGGCGATCCTCATCCGCATGGTGGCACTTTGTGTCATCGGGTGTTTATCGCTTGTGTGATGTCCTAGTGGGGTAGAAAGTCAAGTCAAGTCAAGTCACTTATGCCTAAATCCAGGACGTCTGCTGACACGCTAAAAGACATAGAATCTTGACTTCAAGACCTAAGCATGTGATCAAGACATAGAATCTTGACTTCAAGACATAGCCATGTGATCAAAGACATAGAATCTTGAGTTCAAGACCTAGCCATGTGATCAAAGACATAGAATCTTGACTTCAAGACTTAGCCATGTGATCAAAGACATAGAATCTTGACTTCGAGACCTAACCATGTGATCAAAGACATAGAATCTTGACTTCAAGACCTAGCCATGTGATCTGGACTTGGCGTGATTCACGGACATTGCCGCCGAATGTCTAGCCACCTGCGTTATGTCAGGTTGTCAGATCTCCAAATTAAATATTTGAAAATGCTGTCTATGACAAAACTGGTTATTTTTGTAGAAATTAAGAAGGTCAGCAGTGACATTAATAAATGTCTGGGTGAGCAATTAGAGTGACAGCTGGGGAATACTGGTCAATATAAGTTGGCCAGAATATGGGTTAAAGTGACGGCTTAACAGTGCACTTTTATCTAAGTGGTGTCTGCAAACAGCGCCGACTGATACAGCTGCAAAACGTGGGTTTAACGACGGCCAACAGTCCGCGGATGTTTACACGACACTTTCTTCCAATCTGGTTCTACGCACATAAAGCTTTTGTTGTGTGATTATTGTATTGTTATTTTGTCGCTGTTGATGTTGTTGCACGTTATTATTATTCTTTCAAACCCTTGTTGCACGTTATTGAATACGAACACTTGATTCTCCTAATGGATCTTGTTCTCTAACATGTGATTCCATAGATGGGTCTTATCCTATACCATGTGGTTCCCCAGATGGGTCTCGTCCTGTAACATGTGATTCCTCAGTCGGGTCTTGTCCTACAACATGTGATTCCCCTGGGTCTTGTACTATAACATATGATTCCCCAGATGGGTCTTATCCTATATAACTTGATTTCCCAGATGGGTCTTGTACTATAACATATGATTCCCCAGATGGACGTAATTTCCTTGATGGGTCTTGTACTACAACATGTGATTCCTCAGGTGGGTCTTATCATATAACACGTGATTCCCCAGTTGGGTCGTCCTATAGCACGTGAATTCCCAGATGGATCTTGTCCTACAACATTTAATCCCCAGATGGGTTTGTCCTATAACACGTGATTCCCCAGATGGGTCTTGTTCTAAAACACGTGATTCCCCAGATGGGTCTTGTTCTAAAACACGTGATTCCCCAGATGGGTCTTGTCCTAAAACACGTGATTCCCCAGATGGATCTTGTCCTACAACATGTGATCCCCAGATGGGTCTTTTCCTGTAACTTGATTCACCAGATGGGTCTTGTCCTGTAACATGTGATTCCCCAGATGTGTCTTGTCCTAAAACACGTGATTCCCCAGATGGGTCTTGTTTTAAAACACGCGATTCCCCAGATTGATCTTGTCCTATAACACGTGATTCCCCAGATGGGTTTTGTCCAATAACACGTGATTCCCCAGATGGGTCTTGTTCTAAAACTACGTGATTTCCCACATGGGTCTTGTTCTATAACACGTGATTTCCCCAGGTAAGTCTTGTTCTATAACACGTGATTCCCCAGATGGGTCTTGTTCTATAACACGTGATTCACCAGATGGGTTTTGTTCTAAAAAACGCGATTCCCCAGATTGATCTTGTCCTATTACACGTGATTCCCCAGATAGGACTTGTCCTATAACACGTGATTCCCCAGATGGATTTTGTCCTATAACACGTGATTTCCCAGATGTGTCTTGTTCTAAAATACGTGATTCCCCAGATGGGTCTTGTTCTAAAATACGCGATTCCCCAGATGGGTCTTGTCCTAAAACACGTGATTCACCAGATGGGTCTTGTTCTAAAACACGCGATTCCCCGGATTGATCTTTTCCTATAACACGTGATTCCCCAGATGGGACTTGTCCTATAACACGTGATTCCTCAGATGGGTTTTGTCCAATAACACGTGATTACCCAGATGGGTCTTGTTCTAAAACACGTGATTTCCCACATGGGTCTTGTTCTACAACACGTGATTTTCCCCAGATGAGTCTTGTTCTATAACACGTGATTCCCCAGATGGGTCTTGTTCTATAACACGTGATTCCCCAGATGGGTCTTGTTCTATAACACATGATTCCCCAGATGGGTCTTGTCCTATAACACGTGATTCCCCAGATGGGTCTTGTTTTATAACACGTGATTCCCCAGATGGGTCTTGTTTTATAACACGTGATTCCCCAGATGGGTCTTGTCCTAAAACACGTGATTCCCCAGATGAGTCTTGTCCTAAAACACGTGATTCCCCAGATGGGTCTTGTCCTATAACACGTGATTCCCCAAAATGGGTCTTGTTCTAAAACACATGATTCCCCAGATGAGTCCTGTCCTACAATATGTGATTTCCCAGATAGGTCTTGTCCTGCAATATGTGATTTGTGGTTCGAAGTTAACAAAATGTCTACTGGAGCTGTGTTTGCATAGCTAGCCAGAAAGGCGTGTAAGAGAACTGGTTCCATAACACATACTATGTCTCTGCCTTTTTTATATTCTTTACGACCGCTGTTTCCTTTGCCTCAGCCTGTCACTCAGAGGAGTTGGTCAAGCTTGAAAGACCTTTTGTTATACGGCGTGGTAACAAACCTTTTGATTTGTTATGTTGTCTAGTGTGTCCTTCTGTTACTCTACGCCTCTTTTTGAGTCATCTATTTTACAAAATTATACCCTTACATCCATTATGACTGTCAGGTTGTTAATTTTCTGTTTACTTTATTCTGACTGTCAGGTTGTTAATTACACCATTATCTACATTATGACTGTCAGATTGTGAATTATACCATTCACTCCATTATGACTGTCAGATTGTTAATTATACCATTCACTCCATTAGGACTGTCAGATTGTGAATTATACCATTCACTCTATTCTGAGTGTCAGATTGTGAATTATACCATTCACTCCATTATGACTGTCAGATTGTGAATTATACCATTAACTCCATTATGACTGTCAGATTGTGAATTACACCATTCACTCCATTATGACTGTCAGATTGTTAATTATACCATTCACTCCATTAGGACTGTCAGATTGTGAATTATACCATTCACTCTATTCTGACTGTCAGGTTGCTAATTACACCATTCACCCCATTATGACTGTCAGATAGTTAATTTAACCATTCACTTCATTATGACTGTTGGTTTTGAAAGTCGGCGTGACTAAAGTAACATATGTGTGTCCTGTTTATTTCTGTCAGCAGATTTTATGACGGTTTTATTCTCAGATTTTACTGTTTTTTGAAAACGTGTGTTTGTCTGTCGCAAGTTTGTCCCCCCCCCCCCCCCTTATTTTTTCAAGCTCCCTCCCCCAGCGCCCCACTGTTGCGATTAGCCACAATTATACAGCATGTCTACAAACATGCGCAATTCTTCTTCTTCTTCTTCTTCTTCTTCTTCTTCTTCTTCTTCTTCTTCTTCTTCTTCTTCTTCTTCTTCTTCTTCTTCTTCTTCTTCTTCTTCTTCTTCTTCTTCTTCTTCTTCTTCTTCTTCTTCTTCTTCTTCTTCTTCTTCTTTTTCTTCTTCTTTTTCTTCTTCGCGGTCACTAGCTGTAAACTCCGGCGGAAAGTTCTGGTTGTTTGTCCACATCTAGACTTTAAACTTGTTTCAGAATCTGACATACGTTTTAAAGATCTGGCTTACTTGTATGCAAACTGTTAGTCACCTGCCTCTCCGACTTCGAACGAAACCTCCAAGTTGTCGACTCCTACGACATGCTTATGTGGGAGACAGTGAGTCTATTCTTGTTGTCCCCATAATGTGGTGGCCCCGGAACCCACACGGGAAACTGAGGTCATTAAGCTAGCGTAGATTCTGTGGCTCAAAGGTTAGTGAATAAACACTTGAACGACGTTCGACGTACTAGGGCTTCATTTACCCATCTATTTAATTGAGGGAAAAAATTCTTGAGACAGTCGGAAAATGGTACGAGAGTTATACTGTGTAAGAGCTTGGCCTTACCAGGTCATAGCCCAGACGCTGCAGTGACGCCAGCCTTAATTGTGGAGACGGTACATGATTAAAATTAAAGATAATATGGACTGAAACAAGTTACCATAAACTACTGACCTCGGGGTCCTGAAATACTTCCGGGTCGTGGTGAAATACGGGCGGGTACATGGCGACTTTGTCCCCTTTCCTGATGTTGAACGTCCGCCCATCGGCCGTGCTAAACCTGGTGTCCGCCGTGCATACCCTAACCATGAACACGCCGCTAGTCACTCGGATGGTCTCCTTCAAAAAGGAATCTGGTTGGGAACATCAAGATGTTAGTTTCCTCAACTACAGCCACACTCAGTCACAAGCTACCAGTACCACTTGTACTCGTCCCTGTCCGTCTCTTGTGAAGCTGCTGCTACTGCTGCTTGTCCTGCTTCTACTATTACCACCACAACAACCACCACAGCAACCACCACTACCACTACAACAACAACAACAACAACAACTACCTTATACTACTACTACTACTACAACAACACTACTACTACTACTAACTACTACTACTACACTACTACTACTACTACAACAACAGCAACAACAACAACAACTACTACTACAACTACTACTACTACTACTACTACTACAAACTACTACTACTACTACTACTACTACTACTACTACTACTACTACTACTACTACTTCAAACTACTACTACTACTACTACTACTACTACTACTACTACTACTACTACTACTACTACTACTACTACTACTACTACTACTACTACTACTACTACTACTACTACTACTACTACTACTACTACTACTACTACTACTACTACTACTACTACTACTAACAATAATAATATTAATGATACTACAACCAACACTATATACAAGGAAAAGACCCTCTTCCATACAGGGCTAGACCTATATTTTATAGATAACTTGGTACTCTGTAAGTGATGTGGTCAGCATTACACTGGCAACCTTTACTTTCCAGGACTTTACCTCAAGCCCATTTAAGACTAGGTCGACCTGGGAGCTCAACATATTTTAAAAAATACCCGATCCGCTCAGGATCTGAACCCACGACTTTAGGATTGGCAGGCGGGCGTCTAGCCGCCACACCACAGCGGCTTCCATTGATGATATGAATAGTTTTGTTTTTGTTGGACGAAGCCATTTATTTAAATGAGGCCAACAACGATTACGGCATTGGTGCTGGTGAGGCTGATGATAAAGAAAAAGAATATGATGCTGATGATTAAAGCGATAACGATGGTAAACAAAGAAGCTTACCAATAATAGGCAGCTTATTGATGTCATCTGCCGTGAACTCGGCCTCATACTCAGCTTCGTTGGCGCCGGTTCTTTTCGCTTCCACAACATCCTCCACTTCTTTCTTGACAGCCGCCATGACAACATCGTCCTCCATCAGCTTGTAGAGACACCAATAGGCCACTCTGAACGTGTTGTAGTTGACGTGCAGGAAGATGAGGTTGTGGCAAATGATGTCTCGTTCTGACTGCCTGTGGAAGGTTTATACGCACGTATGAGCAAGATAAAGGTCACGACAAACAAAACGTAGAGTTTAACGAGAGCTCTTAAGACCATTAATTTCCTTAAATAGAAACACAGAAGACTAAATTAGATTTTACTCATCTACAAGAGAAATAAAAATGCAAAGATAGATTAAAATGGCTACATCACTCTGGCAAAACATAGTTTCTTGGTAAAAAATTCAGTAAATGCTACATACTTGTTCTTCAGCATAAACTGTGTGGAATGTTTGATGTAGTCAGAACAGCCATCCCGATTCACCATCTCAGCACTGGATGGCTGCTGCGCTAGAACCCCGACCGCTTCCATCGCCTTGGGAAACAACTTGATGGGCAGGCCAATCCACAAGAAGTTGAAATATTTGTGGAAAAGATCAAAGTTTTTGTGGAAAACTTGAGGTTGAAAACTTCCGGACTTTCCAGAGTCGCCGCGGCCGAAGATTGTGTAGAAGACAGGAGAGAAGAATATCTTTGAAGTAAAGTTCCTAAGCTCGTCCTGGCACCAAACACCAGCCGCTGGACCAACACCTCCTGTTGGTAGTCCGGGCTGCTGGTTTAACCCAGAATCAATAAACAATTCACTGTCTGCAATACTGCCACATTCTCCGCTGTGATGAACTTCCTGTTTGCCAGATTCGTCGATCTTCATTTCAGTGTTTTTTTGATTTAATACCGTGATATCTTTCTCCCCACTAGAGCTCTGTGTCTGCTTCGATGTCAGTTTAAACGCTTCTGACAGATTCTTGGCGAAATTCTCCACCGTCACAAACAAGTATTTGCCGTTGACCTTTTGTCCCGCTTCGTTGATCATTTTTCTAGATTCAAACAACTGATACCCGAAGACATTCTGGTTCACCTGCTCTTCAATTTCTTTGAAATCAAAGTTCTTCTCCTTCGCGAACAACTCGAAACTGTGAACGTCCAGCACCATTGTCCAGTGCTGGTTCAGTAAGCGAATAGTGAAGACGTCTCCGTACTTCTGGCGAGACTTGCTGAGAAACTGGACGGCATGTTCCATAAACTGTTGGCCATTGCCCCACAGGAAGTGTCCCGGCACGATCGGAGGCTCTCCCGGCTTTCTGGGAAGAGACAAATGACATTTTGTAAGTGATGCTTACATCATATGTTACAATTAAATGACTTTTTGAAGAGATGCTTACATCATGTTACATTAAAATGATTTTTTAAAGAGATGCTTACTTCATATGTTAAAATAAAATGACTTTTTGAAGAGATGCTTACATCATATGTTACATTGAAATAACTCTTTGTAAGAGACGCTTACATCATATGTTACAATAAAATGACTTTTTGAAGAGATGCTTACATCATATGTTACATTAAAATAACATTTTGTAAGAGACGCTTGCATCATATGTCACAATAAAATGACTTTTTGTAAGAGATGCTTATATGATATGTTACAATAAAATAACTTTTTGTAAGAGATGCTTACATCATATGTTGCAATGAAATGACTTTTTGAAGAGATGCTTACATCATATGTTACAAAAAAAATGACTTTTTGTAAGAGACGCTTACATCATATGTTACATTAAAATGACTCTTTGTAAGAGAGGCTTACATCATATGTTACATTAAAATAACTTTAAAAATGAAAATGGATTTTAAAATAGAAAGGAACTGGGGAACTGACTGCGAGTTATGTGTGACATAAAGAGGCACTACGGGGGGTAGGATAGCGATGGTATAGACCGCTCAGTTGTAAAAGTCAGCATATCTGAAACACCGGTATAAGTTCTTTTTATGTTTTCACTCGTGGGTTACACATCTATTATGTTTTCTAGTAACATCTGCTTTTCCTTCTTCTTCTTCTTCTTCTTCTCTTCTTCTTCCTTCTTCTTCTTCTTCTTCTTCTTCTTCTTCTTCTTCTTCTTCTTCTTCTTCTTCTTCTTCTTCTTCTTCTTCTTCTTCTTCTTCTTCTTCTTTTCTTCTTCTTCTTCTTCTTCTTCTGCTTGTGGTTCTGCTTCTTCTCCTTCTTCTTCTTCTTCTTCTTCTTCTTCTTCTTCTTCTTCTTCTTCTTCTTCTTCTTCTTCTTCTTCTTCTTCTTCTTCTTCTTCTTCTTCTTCTCTCTTCTCCTTCTTCTTCTCCTTCTTTTTCTTCTCCTTCTTCTTCTGGTTCTGCTTCTTCTATTTCTTCTTCTGCTGCTGCTGACTTAATCGTTAACCGTTGACAACAAATTGCAACAACAGAAACAAACAAAATGCTCACCGTTTTCTGTAGAAAAGCTTGAAATATGCGTAGGTGAGAGCCACCATCAAGACAGCCAGCAGAACTGTCACAACTGCCATTTTAATGTAGGATATTGTTGGCTGGGTCAGAATTGTCCTTTCTAAAAGTTTTCGCACTTGCAGATTTATGATTCCGTATCGTCAAATCGTACGATTTCCAACTGTGTTATTTATACTATAGAGAAATGAAACAAAACACCGAGGTATTGAAAGTTGCAATGGAACGGCATTTGTTCAAATCTCAACAAGCATTTATGGGAATTATGAACGGAGATAGTGTGTGTGAGCAAGTAATGGACTAGTGTTGGAGGAAGATATACAGATATTAGTGCACCCGCACACACACACACGCACACACACACACACACACCGAAAGAAAGAAAGACAGAAAGACAAATAAACATACACAGCGAGAGAAAGACAGAAAGAGTGGGAGAGAGGGAGAGAGAGGGTAAAGAGGCAGAGAGAGAGAGAGGGGTAGAGAGGTAGAGAGAGAGGGAGGGTATAGAAAAAAAGAGAGAGAGAGGGGGAGAGAGGGAGGGTAGAGAGACAGAGAGGGAGAGGGAGGATAGAGACACAGAGAGGGAGGGTAGAGAGACAGAGAGAGATGGTAGAGAGACAGAGAGGGAGAAAGGGAGGATAGAGAGAGAGAGAGAGAGACAGAGAGAGAGAGAGAGAGAGAGAGAGAGAGAGAGAGAGAGAGAGAATGGCATTATGACATTGTCTGGTAGAAAATAACCACGAATAGGAAATAAGACACAAAACTCAAACTACACTGGAGTGAGTGGAAGCGGGGTTCCGCCTAGTTTTGTTAATCCCCTTTGACGCAGACTGATCATCTAAGGGTTTGTTAGCATTACAGTCATGTTCACGGTGTAACCATTCAACAAAATCTCAAATCAAGTCAGTGGGACATTGAAAGGAACACCTGCGATGTCGGTGCGCAGAATCTCATAGCGGACAATGTTGAGTGTGCAAGGGTCAGATCACCGTAAACTCGCCAGTTGCGGGCATCAACGCCAAAACAAGGTCGCCGAGGCAACCGCAGGTGGCAAGGCAGTGCAGCTCAGTTGTGACAGTTGCCAGCGGCCAGATGTGACATCTAGGGATGTTGATACCAGCACCATGTCACACAGCTACACACAATCAAGGAACAGGTTCCTGACGGTTCCCTCAACAGCAAAACTATTGTTGGGATCACATGGTGTCTAAAACCATGTTCTCGAACACATGCGCACCGACTACACACAGAAAGCACGTAGGGGAAAAAGAAGAGGGGGGGGGGGGAAAGGAGGGGCTAACATGTTTGTAGCGCATTATGGGACAAGATAGGAGACTGTATAACCAATAACTACTCTTGGGAACAATCAATAGAGGTACCTTGGGGTCAGTGCTGGGTAGGAGGACTGAGTACGTATGGGAGCGTCCAGCCTGCAATAGTGCCGTTTCCGATACCATAGTATAAGGATGTAAAGTAACAATCCGGACATACATATTAACAGAGAAACATGCAAAGTAACAATCAGGACATAAATACTAATAGTAACAAAGCAGGGCTTACATGAAGAGTGAAGGACATAGTGGCCAGAATGAAGGACATAGTGGCCAGAATGTTGATTGGTCCATATGAGAATCAGAGAATAGCAGCATGGTTATGTACCATGCCGTAAGGGGCCACTAAGAAGGGTTGTCGTGACGGTGACTACCTCGTCGTGTATGAAAGTGTAACTGCACAACGCAGCAGGTCATGGACAAATGTACAAACGTAACAAATCGTGGACAATTTTACAAAGATGACAAATGTACAAACGTAACAAATCGTGGACAATTTTACAAAGATGACAATTGTGCAAACGTAACAAATCGTGGACAATTTTACAAAGGTGTCAATTGTGCAAACGTAACAAATCGTAGACAATTTTACAAAGATGACAAATGTACAAACGTAACAAATCGTGGACAATTTTACAAAGATGACAAATGTACAAACATAACAAATCGTGGACAATTTTACAAAGATGACAAATCGTGGATAATTTTACAAAGATGACAAATCGTGGACAATTTTACAAAGATGACAAATCTTGGACAATTGTGCAAACACAGAATAGTGGACAATGGTACAAACACAGAATAGTGGACAATGGTACAAACACAGAATAGTGGACAATGGTACAAACACAGAATAGTGGACAATGGTACAAACACAGAATAGTGGACAATGGTACAAACACAGGTTTGGACATAGTGAACACAGGTATCAGTGGTCGCAGATTGTAGGATTGGACATAGTGGACACAGGTATTAGTGGTCGTAAATTGCAGGATTGGACATAGTGAACACAGGTATCAGTGGTCGCAGATTGTAGGATTGGACATAGTGAAAACAGGTATCAGTGGTCGCAGATTGTAGGATTGGACATAGTGGACAGAGATATCACTGGTCGTAGACTGTAGGACTGGACATAGTGGACAGATATATCACTGGTCGTAAACTGTAGGATTGGACATAGTGGACCCAGGTAGCAGTGTTCGTAGACTGTAAGACTGGACATAGTGGACCCAGGTAGCAGTGTTCGTAGACTGTAAGACTGGACATAGTGGACCCAGGTAGCAGTGTTCGTAGACTGTAAGACTGGACATAGTGGACCCAGGTAGCAGTGTTCTGGACATAGTGGACAGATATAGCAGTGTTCGTAGACTGTAAGACTGGACATAGTGGACCCAGGTAGCAGTGTTCGTAGACTGTAAGACTGGACATAGTGGATCCAGGTAGCAGTGTTCGTAGACTGTAAGACTGGACATAGTGGATCCAGGTAGCAGTGGTTTTTGTAGGAATAACATGTATGTGCCATCCCCACAGTGAAGGTTGACCTCAGTCTACCACTGTTGTCTTTGTCGATATTATGCGGCGAGGCCTCAGTCTCTGCCATGGTGAGACTCTCGTACTACTGCCAGAAAACCTTATGAACTCTTGTTTTAATCACATGTATCACGGACAAACTCAAAAATAATGGAATCGTGAATCGCATTCATTTACACCTAAGCCACAGATCAGCAATGGATTTTGGGAATTAAATAGAAATGAAAGTGTGTGGTTTGTGTAAAACCTAATTCTTATCTGATTAAAAAGAATCAACGTGTAGTGAGTCGCTTGGTATTAAATAAGGTAACTGGCGTAAACAAGAGATTTGTGTCCGTCAAGTAGACAACAGCATATTTATGACTTCTTGTCCCCACCCCTCTAACCCCCCCCCCCCCCCCCCCTCGGCCACCGACCCACGTGACATGACTGGCAAGAGAAACGCTCGGCTCCCTTGTGGTTGTTATTGTTGTTGACCAGTCGACTCCCGGAAGGACACCGGACTGTCAATCAAATCCACTTGCATCTGGCATTGACTGACATGGTCAGACCTAATTGTACTGCTGCTTTTCTCATGCTGCCTGTTTGATTGTGGCTGTTTTACTAGCTGTGACTTTTTGAATGAGTGGCTTTTTTGTTTTGTTTTACAGCTAGTGAACGTTTTATTTGTTCGGCATAAAATTGCAGTTATTTTGAATGTTCTGTGATAAAGTGCAGATATTTTATGTCAGAATTAATGATCTGTTAGTTGTGTCGTCTCTTCTTCTTTCTTCGACTGTCATTTATCTCCGCCTGGACCATAGGCTCTCAACAACTCAGGCCAAGTCCTCCTATCGGTTGCGATTGCATGTAGCTCAACCATGTCCTCTCACAGATCATTAACTTCACTCTCCAGTCCTCTCTCTCTCTCTCTCTCTCTCTCTCTCTCTCTCTCTCTCTCTCTCTCTCTCTCTCTCTCTCTCTGTGTGTTTGTGTGTTTTGTCTACCTTAATGTATATGCACTTGTCTTGGTTACAGTTTAAATCACTTCTAGCTATACTGTTCTCATGTTTTCTCAGTGTATGCTTTATCCAAAAGCAGCGTCTTGACCTCCTGACTCACTGGAATCTATTCAGTCTCTCCCAAAGCTCAACACGAGTGATATGAGAAGTTAAGTCAGCGTAGTGAATAATTCCAGAGCAGCTGTTGCCATTAAGCATGAAATATGTTATGGAGCTGAGCTAAGAACCAACGTCAAAACACTTGAAACATTCCCATAAGGGCTACATACCCATCTCCAACAGCCAGAGCAGACTTCCAGTTCTAATGGTACCAGTAGTAGTCTAATTGTGTGTCTATGTTAGGGCTGTACCGAATATTCGCTTCATATTCGCTTCGGGGCCGAACAGTGGACCTAATAACTGTTCGGTATTCGGTCGAATATTTGCGGTCAGACCGAAGACGAATAGTGGTTACCTTACACCCGTTTCTGCATACACCGTGACTGAAAAAACTCTCTCATTAAATCATGTGTTGCTTTTGCCTAAGTCTGTCATAGGGTGGGTAACTGCGACCCGGTTGCGTAGTACAGCATCATATCATATGGCTGTGAATCCTCGACAATCGGTAGGCAGACCAAATAATTTCTTGAGGCCTCAGAGATGTGGTTTTACTGCTACAATACTTAGAATACCTTGGACAGCTAAAAAAAAAGCAACCAAGAGGTTTTGAAAGAGGCGGCAGCCCGAAGACAACTAATCACAGACATCAGAAGGAGACAGTCATCATTTTTCGGCCATGTTATGAGAAGAGAGAAAATGGAACATGTGGTGACCACCGGAAAGATCTGTGGAAGGAGGGATAAAGGAAAACAACGAGAGAAGATATACAGTCTTGTTGCATGGCATGGAGGTGTGTCAGCACACGAACTAATACATGCAGCAGGAGATCGCAGATTGTGGCAAGGCCCACGCCAGTCGGCAAGGCACCTGGTGATGATGATACACCATTCGTATTCGTATTCGGCCGAACAGTCGGTTGCCGCCACTCGCACCTCTATCCACGTACTGTAGGCACTTCCTACAGTACACACGGCCCAGAGTTTTCACTATCCAGCTGTGTTGTTGATATTTTGGTCCGAGACTTACAGACAAATGAATTTATGTATTCCTATTTGTAACTGTACCATTGCCTGTTTGTGTCATATGCTGATGAAGTAT